GTGGGTCACAATAAGCGTGTATGCACCTGGAGAAGAGAGGAATGTAGAGGAGAGAGAGAGATTTTGGGAGATGTTAAGTGAATGTATAGGAACCTTTGAACCAAGTGAGAGAATAATTGTGGTAGGGGACCTGAATTCTAAAGTAGGAGAAACTTTTAGAGAGGGTGTGATAGGTAAGTTTGGGGTGCCAGGTGTAAATTATAATGGGAGCCCTTTGATTGAACTTTGTATAGAAACGGATTTAGTTATAGGTAATTCATATTTTAAGAAAAAGAGGATAAATAAGTATACAAGATATGATGTAGGGCGAAATGACAGTAGTTTGTTGGATTATGTATTGGTAGATAAAAGACTGTTGAGTAGACTTCAGGATGTACATGTTTATAGAGGGGCCACAGATATATCAGATCACTTTTTAGTTGTAGCTACACTGAGAGTAAAAGGTAGATGGGATACAAGGAGAATAGAAGCATCAGGGAAGAGAGAGGTGAAGGTTTATAAACTAAAAGAGGAGGCAGTTAGGGTAAGATATAAACAGCTATTGGAGGATAGATGGGCTAATGAGAGCATAGCAATGGGGTTGAAGAGGTATGGGGTAGGTTTAGAAATGTAGTGTTAGAGTGTTCAGCAGAAGTTTGTGGTTACAGGAAAGTGGGTGCAGGAGGGAAGAGGAGCGATTGGTGGAATGATGAGTTAAAGAGAGTAGTAAGGGAGAAAAGTTACCATATGAGAAGTTTTTACAAAGTAGAAGTGATGCAAGGAGGGAGGAGTATATGGAGAAAAAGAGAGAGGTTAAGAGAGTGGTGAAGCAATGTAAAAAGAGAGCAAATGAGAGAGTGGGTGAGATGTTATCAACAAATTTTGTTGAAAATAAGAAAAAGTTTTGGAGTGAGATTAACAAGTTAAGGAAACCTAGAGAACAAATGGATTTGACAGTTAAAAATAGGAGAGGAGAGTTATTAAATGGAGAGTTAGAGGTATTGGGAAGATGGAGGGAATATTTTGAGGAAATGTTAAATGTTGATGATGATAGGGAAACTGTGATTTCGTGTATAGGGCAAGGAGGAATAATATCTTGTAGGAGTGAGGAAGAGCCAGTTGTGAGTGTGGAGGAGGTTCGTGAGGCAGTATGTAAAATGAAAGGGGGTAAGGCAGCTGGGATTGATGGGATGAAGATAGAAATGTTAAAAGCAGGTGGGGATATAGTTTTGGAGTGGTTGGTGCAATTATTTAATAAATGTATGGGAGAGGGTAAGGTACCTAGGGATTGGCAGAGAGCATGCATAGTTCCTTTGTATAAAGGCAAAGGGGACAAAAGAGAGTGCAAAAATTATAGGGGGATAAGTCTGTTGAGTATACCAGGTAAAGCGTATGGTAGAGTTATTATTGAAAGAATTAAGAGTAAGATGGAGAATAGGATAGCAGATGAACAAGGAGGCTTTAGGAAAGGTAGGGGGTGTGTGGACCAGGTGTTTACAGTGAAACATATAAGTGAACAGTATTTAGATAAGGCTAAAGAGGTTTTTGTGGCATTTATGGATTTGGAAAAGGCGTATGACAGGGTGGATAGGGGGGCAATGTGGCAGATGTTGCAAGTGTATGGTGTAGGAGGTAGGTTACTGAAAGCAGTGAAGAGTTTTTACGAGGATAGTGAGGCTCAAGTTAGAGTATGTAGGAAAGAGGGAGATTATTTCCCAGTAAAAGTAGGCCTTAGACAAGGATGTGTGATGTCACCATGGTTGTTTAATATATTTATAGATGGGGTTGTAAGAGAAGTAAATGCGAGGGTCTTGGCAAGAGGTGTGGAGTTAAAAGATAAAGAATCACACATAAAGTGGGAGTTGTCACAGTTGCTCTTTGCTGATGACACTGTGCTCTTGGGAGATTCTGAAGAGAAGTTGCAGAGGTTGGTGGATGAATTTGGTAGGGTATGCAAAAGAAGAAAATTAAAAGTGAATACAGGAAAGAGTAAGGTTATGAGGATAACAAAGATTAGGTGACGAAAGATTGGGTATCAGATTGGAGGGAGAGAGTATGGAGGAGGTGAATGTATTCAGATATTTGGGAGTGGAAGTGTCAGTGGATGGGTCTATGAAAGATGAGGTGAATCATAGAATTGATGAGGGGAAAAGGGTGAGCGGTGCACTTAGGAGTCTGTGGAGACAAAGAACTTTGTCCTTGGAGGCAAAGAGGGGAATGTATGAGAGTATAGTTTTACCAACGCTCTTATATGGGTGTGAAGCATGGGTGATGAATGTTGCAGCGAGGAGAAGGCTGGAGGCAGTGGAGATGTCATGTCTGAGGGCAATGTGTGGTGTGAATATAATGCAGAGAATTCGTAGTTTGGAAGTTAGGAGGAGGTGCGGGATTACCAAAACTGTTGTCCAGAGGGCTGAGGAAGGGTTGTTGAGGTGGTTCGGACATGTAGAGAGAATGGAGCGAAACAGAATGACTTCAAGAGTGTATCAGTCTGTAGTGGAAGGAAGGCGGGGTAGGGGTCGGCCTAGGAAAGGTTGGTGGGAGGGGTTAAGGAGGTTTTGTGTGCTTGGGGCTTGGACTTCCAGCGGGCATGCGTAAGCGTGTTTGATAGGAGTGAATGGAGACAAATCGTTTTTAATACTTGACGTGCTGTTGGAGTGTGAGCAAAGTAACATTTATGAAGGGATTCAGGGAAACCGGCAGGCAGGACTTGAGCCCTGGAGATGGGAAGTACAGTGCCTGCACTCTGAAGGAGGGGTGTTAATGTTGCAGTTTAAAATCTGTAGTGTAAAGCACCCTTCTGGCAAGACAGTGATGGAGTGAATGATGGTGAAAGTTTTTCTTTTTCGGGCCACCCTGCCTTGGTGGGAATCGGCCAGTGTGTTAATAATAAAGAAAAAATAGTATTTCTCAATTGCTGAACAAAAATAAGTTGAGCACTAATCATCAAAAATTTAAAAATGCTCTTCTGGTGGCAAGCCAAGCTGTAGAAAGATTTAATTTGTATATAGATGTTCCTCAGCTGTTCCTGGTTTTTCAGAGTGGTATATCAACAGGAATTTTAGGCTGAAATACCCCACTACTTTACCTGTAGGAAGAAGCATTACTAGATCTTTGGCTGCCATGAATCATGAAGCCATTTTGTTGTCTGGCATACAAAACTTTTTGATAGCTGTTTTGTCAATATTTTCTGAGATGTGTTACCTTCTCCTTTAAAAATCATGATGCAAATCTGCTGCCTTGTTATAGGTAATCAATCTTTGTACTAAGAAATGTTATGCAGGTTGCAACACCTCTTAAACCTATCCTGTCATTTCTTACCTTTCTTTTATTAAAAATCCTCAAACATTCTCCTGGCCATGCTGCTAAGAGGTATGTGCTGTTGCAACTGGTAGTCTTAGCTTTTTGCATCATTGTAATCCCTAACACTTAATTATCTCTTGGAGAAATATGTTGACTGGGGATAGAACTTAGTGTTTTGAAACTATGACAGAAAAGAAAAAAGTCCAGGACTTTCCAAACAATAACAATAGCTGTGTCACAGGTTTGAATTGGTTTCAAACTTGTACACTAAAATTATTCCATATGTCAGCAAGAAGCTTGACAGATGATGCAAAATACCCCAGATGCAAAGCAAGTGTGTAATGTGTATGCTAAGCAACAACTCATGTGTAAAGGATCCAAGATTTATCAACTCTATCCTTTTATATACAAGGAGAATTACCAATAGATCCTTAGCTGTTTTCTAGAGAGACCTTGGTAAGTTCCTCAAGTCAGTTCCTGATCATCTGTGCTGTGATGTCTACTCAGAAGTACAAGTGTAGATAGACACATGCATAGCTCATAACATTTATTGAGGAAATGTTCTGCCACGATTCTCTTCGTCAGTTCGGAAGGACTGAATAAGCCACTCGTGGCAAAATACTTCCTCAATAAATTTCATGAACCATACATGTGTCTATTTACATACTGCCGGTATCATTACACATGTTCTCCAGTCATTGGACTGCGTGATTAATACCAACAGCACGATTGATCAGGCCATTAGCCAGTAGGAAACAACAACAGGTGCACATCAGGTTCCCCTATCACTGTACACCACAACTGTACGAGCTACCCACCACATCTGTTCATTTTCTGATTCCGAATGAAACATGAATTTCTGTTTGACCTAGTGTGAGCCTTTAAAAAAAGAGCATGATAGGTTGCTAAACAGAGTTCAGGCCATCTCTAATTGAACTTGTTTCTTCATGTATAATTATTTGCTAAGCATATTTTACTAAACAAATTTTTCTCCAGCAGGGGATTAATAAATGAAAACATGAATATATTTTTTAGAGGAAAAGTCAGTTATTCGACAACATTAATAATCACAAACTACATTTTTTTTTTGCTTAAATAAATTATTAAATATCACTAAATTGATTAAAAAGTAAGTCCTCCTGATGCAAAGAATTCTCTTTCTGAAAAGCATTTATGTTGATCTGAGCATATATTATATCATATAACGATCATTTTTATTTACAAGAAGTAGATCTTAGTACATTTGTCATACACTATTGGTTTACAGAAATCACAAAGTACTTGGTTGTTAGTGTATTTTTTTTTCATTTGTCTAATGGTTCTTCTCATATAGACCTTTCATATAACACTTTTTCACTACTACAACTATAGGTTCTTGCAGATTTTTATTTTTATTTACTATTTTCTGAGTATGAACTGATAATTTACATTTCTTATCTTCAACAAAAGTTGCTTTGGAAATTCTGTAGAATTTGCAATAAATGAAGGCATAGACTAATTAAAAATATCATTAAAGATAGTATATTATTTTTCCAGCCACATCTGTAGTACTGTAGTAATCATTTTCTGCTGTACTGATTTCTAAAAATCTTTTTCCTCTCCATGCAGCATCATATTATCAAATTAGAAAATCTCTTGCTTGTGCATAAAGCACCATTAAGTTTACAGCATGTTTGATCATGAATTGTAGTCACAAGAGCCATTTTCTGTATTTAAAGCCTTGTGGTCCATGCGGAATCTTCTGCAAACACTTCAGTCACGACATATCTCCGCACCTTCTGGTATGTCGCACTCAACAGCCAGGCTTAAAATTTGCCCGAGAATTTTGCATGCTGGCTTCTTATCAAACAAGTGAAGGCGTTATATTTTGCTTGCTTTACAAGTATCGGCACTGTTAAAAATATGCAAAAGAATGGTGTCCCTAGCTGGTAACACAGGTAGGTAGGGGAAAAGTGAAAAAACCACAAGTTGGGGGAATAATAATTATTGAAGATAAATAATGGCAATTGTGTGTAAGTTTGTATTGAGTCTGAGTTTGTGTCATAGACCACAAAGTCAGATGGCAGTGTGATTGTGATCTTCAGAAAATGAATCGTCATATAAAAAAATCATTGAGAAAACTATTTTGTTTTAGATATTGGAATAATGGATAGTAAAATGTTCACTGGGCCACTTTCAGCTAGCAAATATTATCCAGGTATTTTTCAGTATTACAGATTTTTTTATTTCTTTTCTGCGCAACTTTATTTATTTCAGTTCTTGAGTTCAAGAGTCTTGCATTTCTGCACTTATTCTTAACTACAGTTCTTTGTTCAGTCACATGTGTTTCCTGTCTTATCATCTCGAGATTTACAGCTTTCTTTTTTCACATTTTCTTTCATGTACAAAATTCATCTGTAACTTATCCTTCCTTTGTCTTTATATACCTTTCAAACCACAATCAGTATTATTTTAATTTGAGTAATACTTTTAGCTGTCTTTTTTTTTTCTGTCAAGCAAATTTATTTCACTTTCATTATTCACTCTGGTTATTTTATAACATTTCATATTATAGCATATATATATGTATCTTTCCCAGTGACAGAATCAAGCTACACACGAAAGCATCCCATTCTGGTTCTTCAAGACTCTTGCTTGCAGCTTTTAAGAGCACTTACTATTTCGACGGGCTTAACTGCTCATGACATGTCCCCAGCAAGTGTTCGTACGGTTGCTGCTCTGCTGTATAGTATTGTTCAGGTTAGAGATACTGTTTTATCCTGAAAATAGAAAATATTCTAAAGATTTTTATATGAATTTTTATTTATGGGTAATATTTTGTGAAGGGATTCAGGGAAACCGGTTAGCTGGACTTGAGTCATGGAAATGGAAAGTACATTGCCTGCACTTTAAAGGAGGGGTTTAGGATATTGGCAGTTTGGAGGGATGTCTAAACTGTCATATCTGAGCACCTCTGCAAAGGCAATGGTTATATATGAGTGATGGTAAAAGTGTTGAATAATGATAAAAGTTTTTTCTTTATTTTTGAGTTTTTCTTTCTTTTTTGGGTCACCCTGCCTTCGTGGGAAGCAGCTGAGATATTGAAAAAAAAATATATATGAAATGTATAGAGGGGAAATTATCAGTATTGTATACAATATTTTAAAAATTTCTTTGCCTTCAAAACCCAGTAACAAGGACTTGATCTGTTATTTTTTTTATACAAACACTGTCATTATGAATAAAAGTCACAGTACCATGACTAGAACAATTCACAACTAACTCACAAATTGTAAATGAAAATGGGATGATGTGTCAGATCATCTTGGACCATTATCAAAATGCAAAGTGGAAGTGGAACAGGATTTTTCTTTTGTAAGCCATGCGTGTCATAAGCGGCAACTGAAATGCCAGGAGCGAGGGGCTAGTAACCCTTTCATGTGTGTACATTACTAAATTTGATAAAAGAAAAACTTTTGTTTTTCTTTTTAGGTCACCCTGCCTTGGTGGGATATGGTCTTTTTGATGAAAAAAAAAGGAAGTTGAGAAGAATTAATTACCTGGGAAATATAAATGTAACCTTAACATTCACTAAATACTTCAATGCATTTACTTTATGAATGTTTTCCATAATATCCCAAGTTCCTTTAAGTGAATTCTCATAATGTGAAATCCAGTACAGCACTCATAAAGTGGGGATTGTCTTTAAAAAAATAAACATTAATTTAAAATATGATAAGAAAAGACAAAACTGGGGTCTTTCACTGATAGTGTTTTTTTCATACTGTAATTACTTCCATGAGAAACTGAGGGTCATCTAATGAGTTACTTGGAACCAAAAATAGCTGGTAATAAATAATAATGTGAAACTTAATCTCTAAGTAAAATATATTTTTGCAGGCTGGTACAACTCAGTCAGAAGACCGTGATCATCTCTTGGAGGAGCAACATAGATCTTGGTGTACCCTGGGGCTGGTCCGTTCAATAAGCTGTTCTCCCTTATTGTGTAGGAACCTGGCCACCCCTGCTTGGGTCAACTTACTCCTCAACCTAGCACAAACCTTCTTGGGACCATTCTCTCTCTACCGTCGAGTAAGTAGCACTTGACTGGGTGTGTGTGAATTGTTTGGTAGTAGCTGCTCTGGCTGTTGTAGATTCTAATGCTAATGTTAACTTAATGTACCTAGTGTTAGGAATGAAGAACAGGAAATTACTTTTTTCTAACTTCAAATTTTCTGATTAACTTGCTAACTTTGTTTTCATATCTTCTTTCTTTTCTTTCTTTCAACACACCGGCCATATCCCACCAAGGCAGGGTGGCCCAAAAAGAAAAACGAAAGTTTCTCATTTAAATTTAGTAATTTATGCGGGAGAAGGGGTTACTAGCCCCTTGCTCTTGGCATTTTGGTTGCTTCTTACGACACGCATGGCTTATGGAGGAAGAATTCTGTTCCACTTTCCCATGGAGATTGTTTTCATATTTTTTTATTTTTTTTTTTATTATCACACTGGCCAATTCCCACCAAGGCAGGGTGGCCCAAAAAAGAAAAACTTTCACCATCATTCACTCCATCACTCTTGCCAGAAGGGTGCTTTACACTACAGTTTTTAAACTGCAACATTAAGTGCAGGCACTGTACTTCCCATCTCCAGGACTCAAGTCCAGCCTGCCGGTTTCCCTTAACCCCTTCATAAATGTTACTTTGCTCACACTCCAACAGCACGTCAAGTATTAAAAACCATTTGTCTCCATTCACTCCTATCAAACACGCTCACGCATGCCTGCTGGAAGTCCAAGCCCCTCGCACACAAAACCTCCTTTACCCCCTCCCTCCAACCTTTCCTAGGCCGACCCCTACCCCGCCTTCCTTCCACTACAGACTGATACACTCTTGAAGTCATTCTGTTTCGCTCCATTCTCTCTACATGTCCGAACCATCTCAACAACCCTTCCTCAGCCCTCTGGACAACAGTTTTGGTAATCCCGCACCTCCTCCTAACTTCCAAACTATGAATTCTCTGCATTATATTCACACCACACATTGCCCTCAGACATGACATCTCCACTGCCTCCAGCCTTCTCCTCGCTGCAACATTCATCACCCATGCTTCACACCCATATAAGAGCGTTGGTAAAACTATACTCTCATACATTCCCCTCTTTGCCTCCAAGGACAAAGTTCTTTGTCTCCACAGACTCCTAAGTGCACCACTCATCCTTTTCCCCTCATCAATTCTATGATTCACCTCATCTTTCATAGACCCATCCGCTGACACCTCCACTCCCAAATATCTGAATACATTCACCTCCTCCATACCCTCTCCCTCCAATCTGATATCCAATCTTTCATCACCTAATCTTTTTGTTATCCTCATAACCTTACTCTTTCCTGTATTCACTTTTAATTTTCTTCTTTTGCATACCCTACCAAATTTCATATGTCCTGGTTAAATTAAATCACAAGTATTCCCTTCATAGGATGTATGCAAGTTAGTTTTCATTTACAACTCTAATCACCTTTGTTGAAGTAGTTGCTCTCATGTTTGTTGATTGATTATATTCACTTTTGTTATGTCAGTGAAAGTAGCATAAATCACTTTGATGAATAAGAGACAAATGCAACACTGGAGATCTTTATTGAAAAAAAGTGCTATGTCTGTGCAGCAGGCTTCTTCAAATACAGATGCAGCCATGAAAGGTGTACCACTTTATTTCAACCTAATAAGGGAAAGAGCCTTAGAGTTACTATAATCCTATGGCTTGGGTCTTTGATTCGATCCCTGGTATGGGGAAAAGCATTGGACATGTTTCCTTACACCTGCCACTCCTTTCCAGTTAGCAGAAACTAGATACCTTAAGTGTTAATCAGTTATTGTGGGGGGGGGGGCATTCCAAGGGGTAGTGATATACTTTAGATATGGCTGGGCTTTGAAACGGGCTGAGGTAGGAAAACAGCTTAGTCTCTACAGTTGATATGCAAAAAATACTGTGTAATGAGAAAGGAAGGCATGAGCAAGAGTGTTTAGTAAAGGCTGGTTCCACAAGTTCAAATTGCAGTCTGTTGTGTAATATTAAGTTTTCTAGTGAAAATGCTTCAGCTTACCTCTCAGTTTCAGGGAATTTCCCTGTTTAATTGGAGGAAATTGTTTCTAAGGATGGCCATGAGCCACAGCAAGTGTTTAATGCTGCCAAGACAAGTCTTTACTGGAAGAAGTTGCCATCCAGAACTTACATTAGCTGTCAAGAGAAAAGTGCACCAGGATTCAAGGTAACAAAGGATCGCTTCAGCTTGCTAGTTTGTGGTAATGCATCAAGCAATTTTAAGTGTAAGCCCTTTGGTTATTTACTGCTCCATGACTCCCCATGCTTTGTAAGGAACTGATAAAGCTACCTTATCAGTTACTTGGAGGTTAAACCGGTCAACATGGATAACAGAGGAATTATTTATTGACTGATTTAAGCATCATTTTATTCCCAAAGTCACATTTTACCTGCACAGTAAGAACTTTGCATTTGAAGTCCTCTTCACTCATAATAATTCCCATTCTCATCCAGAAGCTCTGGTGGATGTAAAAGTTGTGTTTTTACTGCTAGATACAACACTTTTAATATAAGCACCGGATCATGGAATTATTAGGGCATTTAAATGTATCCACACATGAAAAATTATGTGGAAAATTGTTGCAGCAATGGATGCTGACATAAATTTTAACATTGTAGATGCCATTGACTATGTCAGAAATGCATGGAAAGAAGTGACCCAATCCATGCTGGGAAAAATTATAACTGGGGTCGTAAACAATTTCACAGGTTTTTCCCTCAGTTGAGAGGCAGGTGCAGGAAATAGTTGAGCTGGCAATGAGAATGCCAGGTGAGGGCTTTGAAGATATGCAAGAAGATGATATGAATAAGCCTTTAAAACATAATGATGAAGACAGAACCCACAAAAATTGTTGACAGAGCTCACTGCTCAGATACAAGGGAGGTAGTTAACAAATAAAGATGAGAAAGAAGAACCTGAACAAAAAACTCTTAAAATTGCAATAGTTACATGAGCAGTTCCATGTTGCTGCTAAACTAGCAGACTTCTTGACTGATGAGGACCTTGACAAAGTTAGAAGCACTGCTCTGAAACACTGACTGGAATTGCTGCTGATGCCTTTCCATCAGCTGTATAAGTACAGTAAAACAGACTAAAGATGCATTATAGAATTCCTTAGTGTGTCACTGCAACCAAAGATATCAGTGCAAGAACCTCAGCCATCCATCTCAACCACCAATCCACAAGCTTCCACCTCAGTCATGTAGGGCCGCACCATTCCTCTCAACTCATTTCAAAATTATAGATATACACCAGCAACCAGAATATAAAGAAAATATTATTTATGTAACCTTTGTAGCCATAATCATTGTAATAAACATAACACATAACCACATCCAACTGCAGTTACATTTTTATAATTTTTTTTTTTTTTTTTTACAATTTCAAAACCTAGAAAAATCTGTCATTTTTGAGGTGTAATATGTGTAACTGTTTTTCCCATGTGTTCTGCAGTTCACTTAAGATCATTTTTTTATTAGATGTCATTTTTCAAGACTACCATTTCAGTTGATGGTCAGCTGTATATGAAGAGTTTCACTGTAATTAGTTAAATCTAGAATGTAATGACAATATTAAAATGAAGCAAAATTTTATATAAATTACAGATACTGGCCTTACGACTCTTGACATCTGTGTTACCTCATCGTATTGACGACCTTGAGGAAAGACAGATTTTGCTGGATCGTATATTCTTATTACTGGGCAACACCATCCTTACTTGTGCAAATGATCCCGCTATCAGTGCAACAAGTAAGTTTTATACTGAATATTTTTATGTATTTGCAATTAGAGCAGGCACTGAGTGGAGACAAATGATTTTTGGGACTTGATGAGCTGTTGAATTATGACCAGGGAAATATTTTGTGAAGGGAATTAGGGAAACCGGTTAGACAGATTTGAATCCTGGAAGTGAGTAGTACAGTGCCGACACTAAAGGAGGTGTTGGGATGACATCTAAACTGTTGTATCTGTGTGCCTCTGCAAAGACAGTGATAGTGTGCTTGATGGTGAAAGTTTTTTTTTTTTTTTTTGGGGGGGGGAGGGGTCACCCTGCCTTGGTGGGAGATGGCAAACTTGTTAACCCTTTGACTGTTGCAACCCCAAATCCTGAAGTGTCTCCTGGTGTCGAAAAATTTTTGGAAAAAAAAAAAATAATTTTTCCTTTTGAAATGATAGAGAATCTTTTCCTGATGGTAATGACACCAAAAGTACGAAATTAGATCAAAAACTTATTGAATTACGCTCCCGTGAAGTTATTGATCTCGGCGATATATACGCATTGGTGATTTCGCCGACTTTGAGCCCAATTTTCGGCCAATTCCTTTGTTCTAGTCAACCAAACTCATAGCTATTTCTTTAGAACTCCATTTTTTCTGTCAACTTAGTACAAGAAACTGCCCATTTACTGATTTCAGCTACCCAATAAAGTCGTCAGAAATTGGCAATTTGGCTAATTTCACTCAAATTAAAAAGATGCCAATTTCAAAATAGGGTTCAGAATAAACAATGCAGACATTCTTGGCACTAAAATAACATATCCTCTGTTCATTAGTCACATCTCCAGGCCCCTTTTATATTACTCCTGCTCTCTCTTTTGATTTTTTATTCACACAAAAAATAGATTTACTATGCAGACTACTGCATTATTGTAAAAATGGTATAAATAATATCAGTGCACTAGTGAAAGAATGTTAGACTTCCCAGTTGACGTGTATTGTACGTGTGGTGTGATTTGCTTTCTCTTGAACATTGGTAAAAATCGAACATTTCTGCTACTTTGAGCTCAATTTCAAGGTTGTTTTCATCGTGAAACTAAATCAAAATCATCTCTATTTCTGTAATATGTTTTCCATTCTATCAAATGAGACCATGAAAATGAGAATAAATACTATAGGAAAATACACCTCTAAGTAGGCGTTTTAATCCAAAAACACGGTCGGAGTTTTTTTCTCTCATTATGCACTGCGTGCTGCAGAATTTTTTTTATACAGTGCACACTGACCACACAGACCCATTCTCTCACATGTGGACCTACCAGCTTTCTCCTGCTTGATTTGAAGCCGCTAGAATTATTGATTATACATACGTACGTCCGAAACAGTGGCTCATAATACGTATATATACAGGCAAAACAGTCAAAGGGTTAAAAAAAAAAGAGAGAGAGAGAGAGACTGAGACTGTGTACTCATTGAAGAAAACTAATGCCATCTCAGCAGAAGCCACAGGACAGAGGAGGAATTAAAAAATATAAGCATTTGGTCTTTAGAACTCTTTGTATCATTAAGGCTGATAAATATTGTGTATAGTGAAGGACTTTTTCCTGTATTTCCAACGTCTCTTGAACAGAAAAATTATTAGTGAAAGGTTAAATGAAACTTTACCAAATGAAGTTTCAGTCTTGTCAGTTTGTCTAGCATTAAATTTTTTTTTCAGTGAACTTGCCATATTCCACCAAGGCAGGGTGATCTAAAAAATAAAAACGAGTTTCTCTTTTTAAATTTATTATTGTATACAGGAGAAGGGGTTACCTGTATACTTAGTAGAATAATCTGCCTAATGTTTTAATAATTAAATACACTTAAAAATGTTAAGCAATTAGTTTTGTGTGTAAAGTAATAGCTTATGATTCTCCTCTTTCCCTTCAGATTATTGTTTTCTTTATTTGGTAGGCAAGAAGAGCCATGGAACATGTGTAGCTGTAACATCAACTCACTCAAGTACTGTTGCAGAAGCAGTAGTCTCCTTAGTACGAACTCTTCATACTCTTCCAGTCTGGAACAGTGTCATTAATGATGCAATAATTGAACGACTCGGCTTAGTAGCTCAGCTGTTGTCCGATCTCTCTCAGTTCCAGTTCAAAGTAAGTACCACATTAACATTCCTGGATGTTTTCTGATATGCAGTGTTTGTAATTACTCATTTGCAATTTACAGAATCTTTTTGTAGTTACATAAGCATAATTTTGCTTGTGGTGTCTTGTCTTCTATGATCAGTTTATTATAAAAAATTTTAAAATTTTCTAATGGTTGTAGTATTGGCATTGTCTATCATTTGGACATCCCCATTCACGTATTAGTCTGAATAGTCTGTGCTTTGTATTTATAATGACATTCTTTTTAACCTTTTAACTGTGTTCAACATACTAGTATGCAGAGAATGACTGTGTCTGAAATACTAGTATGCACAATTTTTTAAACCTTTAACCCTTAAACTGTCCAAACGTAGATCTACGGTTTTTCAACATTTGAAAGTATGTAAAAAAACTTAGATCTTCTTTTTGTTTTTTTACATTTGAAAACGTGTAAAAAACTTGGATCTATGTTTTTTTGTTATACTTGAAAATATATAAAAAATCGTAGATCTACTTTTGGAGCACTACGCATGTGAACATAGATCTGTTTGGACAGTTTAAGGGTTAAATATGCCATCTGCCAAAATTTGTGACAGCTCACTTGTTTAAGTCTCCTACAACCTCCTCATGCTTTTGAAAAAATCTAAGACTAAATACGTCCACGCATTGCATCATAGGGTAATGCTGCCTAACTAGCAAAAGTAAAAAATGAAACCAGGACCTGTTCCACCACCAACTAAAATAATCCAGTATAGTCGAACATTGTGACTTATTTCCATGTTTCTATGAAACATTTGTAATATTCATAAAATTTCCTTGTAAATACCCTGCATATGTTTTACAGTGGTATCAAAGGCACACAGGTGTTATGGACACAAGGAAATTGCATAGTTTATATAACCCATATAACATTTTGTGAAGGGATTCAGGGAAACCAGTTAGTTAGCCAGACTTGAGTCCTGGAGAGAAGTACAGTGCCTGCACTCTGAAGGAGGGGTGAGAATACATGTTGTTGGGAGGGACATTTGCACTGTCATATCTACACATCTCTGGCAAAACAGTGATAGTGTGAATGATGAAAGTGTGAATGATGATGAAAGTGTTTCATTTTATTGGGTCACACACTGCCTCAGTTGGGAGACAGTCATTGAGTTAACCCTTTCATTGTCGAGACCCCTGTTCATGGACTTGCTCTCGGTGTCCGAGTTATCAAAAAAAAAAAAAATCATTTTTTCTTATGAAATGATAGAGAATTTTTTCCTGGTGGTAATCACACTAAAACTATGAAATTTGATGGAAAACTTACAGAATTACACTCTCGTGAAGTTAGCGGTCTCAGTGATATATACACATCGGCAATTTTGCCCAATTTGAGCTCTATTTTCAGCCAATTCCATTGTTCCAGTCAACCAAACTCATAGAACTCCATTTGTTTTGTCCATTGAGTACAAGAAACCACCCATTTACTGATTTCAACTACCCAGTAAAGTGGTCAGAAATTGGCAATTTGGCCAATTTCAGACAAATTTCATAAGATGCCAATTTCAAAATAGGGCCCAGAATAAACAATGCAGACATTCCTGGCACTAAAATAACATTTTCTCTGTTCATTAGTCACGTCTCCAGGCTCCTCTTATATTGCTCTTGCTTTCCATTTTGAATTTGTGTAATTATTTACACAAAAAATAGATTTACTGTTACGCAGACTACTGCATTATTGTAATAAGTGTACAAATAATGTCATCTCATTCATGACTGCATATCAGACTGGCCAGTTGGACATGTGTTGGACGGTGACATCATTTGTTTACTCTTGAACATCGGCAAAAATCAAACATTTCCACTACTTTGAGCTCAATGTCAAGTTACTTTTCATCGTGAAACCAATCAAAATCATCTCTATTTCTGTAATATATCTTCCATTCTATCAAATGAGACCAAGAAAACGAGAATACAACCATAAATACCATACGAAAATACACCTCAAAGTCAACGTTATTAACCAAAAACAGTTTTTTTTCTCTCTCATTATGCACTGCGTGCTGCAATTTTTTTTTATACTGTGCATACTGACCACACAGACTCATTCTCTCACATGTATGTCTACCAGCTTTCTCCCACTAGAATTTTGGCGTAATACTACGGCACCAACACTGGCTTGCAAGCCGTAGTACTACAGCACTGACAGTGAAAGGATTAAATAAAAAAAAGGTATTCCCTTGAACCAGCTTCTTTTTTAACACACCAGCCATACAGCACCAAGGTAGGATGACCCAATAAAAGAAGAAACACTTTACCATCATTCACTCAATCACTGTATTGGCAGAGGCACACGGATACCACAGTTCAGATGCCTCCTCAACCAACAAATATCCTTACCCCTCCTTCAAAGTGCAGGTGCTGTACTTCTCACCTCCAGGACTAAAATAGATTTACATGTTAATGCTATAAGTTTGAACCAACGAATTCTATTGAGAGATGTGAGCAGTATTGCCGGGTACTTAAATCATTAAAGAGGGATTACCCAATACAGTCAGTTTGACGTATTTTTATTCCCTATACATAGTGTTAGAGGGCCAAAGCAATAAAAAAATAGAATTTTTTTTTTCAACATGCTGGCTGTCTCCCACCTAGGCAGGATAACTCAAAAAAGAAAGAAACTCTTTCACCATCATTCAACACCACTTTCACCAGTATTCACACATAAACATTGTCTTAGCAGAGGTTCCCTGATATGGCAGTTTAGATGTCTCTCCAAACAGCCAATATCCCAAACCCCTCCCTAAAATATTTGCTCTAATTTAAAGTGCATATTCTCCATGTTTGCAACACATTTCATGTCTAAAGAAAGTAGTGTTAAACAGTAAAAACAATAAAAACTGAAAATCAATCATAATTTGGCATAAATAAATTGTAAGACATAAATATCGCTGGCACATTTGCGCTGCTGTTACTGACGAGTGATAATTTTTTTTACCAGTTTCAACAAACCATAAAATTGCAAGTGTTTATCATATTCCTCTCATATTAGTCTTATTCATTTAAAAAAATTGCACTCTTTTAATCTGTAAGAAAAAAATTGTTTTTCAAAATCTTCCCTCGCACAGAGGAATTTTAATTTCTGTGTATGCCACAGTTTATATTTTTTTTTTATTAACACACTGGCTGATTCCCACCAAGGCAGGGTGGCCCGAAAAAGAAAAACTTTCACCATCATTCACTCCATCACTGTCTTGCCAGACGGGTGCTTTACACTACAGTTTTTAAACTGCAACATTAACACCTCTCCTTCAGAGTGCAGGCACTGTACTTCCCATCTCCAGGACTCAAGTCCGGCCTGTCGGTTTCCCTGAATCCCTTCATAAATGTTACTTTGCTCACACTCCAACAGCACGTCAAGTATTAACCCTTTGAGGGTCGACAGGCCCTCTCCGAAACTCGTTCTCAGGGTCGGCCAAATTTCAAAAAAAAAAAAAATTATTTTTTCTTATGAAAAAATAGAGTTTTTTTTTCTAAACATTATAGGATAAACAAAAAAAAATTACCATCAATACTTACGGAGATATGGATGCATGAAGTTTGCAGAAAATGAGCCGCGTATGGCAACAGCGGCGACTGCCGCTCACCCGGTAAACTTTGATTTACTTGTATTTAAAGGGTTTTGTTGTTTTTTTCACTATTTTATTTTTTCACATAACTTATGTGGCCTATGAGACCAAAGTAAGGTGCAATGTACATATATACACTCGTTGTATACAACACAATAAGCACACAAACATAATTATCAATATATTGTTTACAAAACTTGTTTACAAAAACAAACAATACAAAACATTGTTTATTATTATTGTTCTATAATATATATACCAATATACAGTCACTGAACATATTCCTATTAGTTCTGCAGCTTGTGGAACTCTGAAACATGGTGTCATGCACAATGGTGTTTTATCTTTCTCCCTAATTCTATCTCTTTCAATCTGTCTCTCTCTTTCTATCTGTCTGTCTATCTCTGTCTCACAGGTACACATAAATACAAGTATACATAGTATAAATTACCTAGGATAACCCAAGAAACCCAGACAAAGTGCTATACTCTGCTTGAAGATGTGAGTAAAAGTCATGACGCAGTCTTGTGGCTCTCTGAGACAGAGAGCTAGATGGATAGACAGGGAGCTTGACAGACAGGCAAATAGACAGACAGAAATGTTAGTATACCAGCAAAAACAAAGGGAGGGCGATGTTCATCTCATCTTTTGGCATCAGCTCTACCCTCATTTACCCTCATCAAACGTCAGCACTTATCAGATGTTATCTCCCCTTATCTTGTTACTGTCATGGGTGAACATTTATTATTACATATTATTATTATTACCTATTATTATTTTATGTATATTATTATTATGTATTATTATTATTATGTATTATATTATGTATTATTGTTATCATTACGTATTCTTCTTCTTCCTCCTCCTCCTCCTCCTCCTCCTCCTCTTCTTCCTCCTCCTCCTCCTCTTCTTCTTCTTCTACCTCCTCCTCCTCCTCCCTCCTCCTCCTCCTCCTCTCCTCCTCCTCCTCTTGCCTCCTCCTCCTCTTGCCTCCTCCTCCTCTTGCCTCCTCCTCCTCTGCCTCCTCCTCCTCTGCCTCCTCCATTCTTGGAACAAGTTTGAAGAGCTTGTAGTTCATAATCACTATCATTATCATCACCAATGCTCACATCTGAGTCTGGGATTTTGGAAAATAGGAGTTTCCTCTTTGATTCTGGTACAACTGAACGACGGCCCAGCACCAGAGGTGGAAGGCTGTGGGTTGTCTGGGTTTTCCTCACTATTACCCATATTATGGTCATTAGTTTCGGTCAAAACCTCACCAGAACCTTGAAACTCATCTTCACTGTCACTTCCATCTGTATTAGAACTGTCACTGGGGAACAAAAGTGTCCCAATTCGCCGAGGAGTGAGGAACTTCTTACCGCAGGGCACGGTGGAAATTGTGTACTATGATGGCATTCCCACAATGCACCACTGGGTCCCAGATTTTTTTCCTACTGCGCACACCCACCACACAGACCCATTCTCTCACATCTAGGCTTATCAGCCTTTTCCTGCGAGATTTGAGGCCGCTAGAATTTATGCGTACTAGTACGTCAAAAACCCCTACGCGTAAGACGTACTAGTACGACCAAAACCCTCAAAGGGTTAAAAAACATTTGTCTCCATTCACTCCTATCAAACATGCTCACGAATGCCCACTGGAAATCCAAGCCCCTTGCACACAAAACCTCCTTTACCCCCTTCCTCCAACCTTTCCTAGGCCGACCCCTACCCCGCCTTCCTTCCACTACAGACTGATACACTCTTGAAGTCATTCTGTTTCGCTCCATTTTCTCTACATGTCCGAACCACCTCAACAACCCTTCCTCAGCCCTCTGGACAACAGTTTTGGCGATCCCACACCTCCTCCTAACTTCCAAACTACGAATTCTCTGCATTACATTCACACCACACATTGCCCTCAGACATGACATCTCCACTGCCTCCAGCCTTCTCCTCGCTGCAACATTCATAACCCATGCTTCACACCCATATAGGAGCGTTGGTAAAACTATACTCTCATAAATTCCCCTCTTTGCTTCCAAGGACAAAGTTCTTTGTCTCAACAGACTCCTAAGTGCACCGCTCACCCTTTTCCCCTCATCAATTCTATGATTCACCTCATCTTTCATAGACTCATCCGCTGACACTTCCACTCCCAAATATCTGAATACATTCACCTTCTCCATACTCTCTCCCTCCAATCTGATATCCAATCTTTCATCACCTATTCTTTTTGTTATCCTCATAACCTTACACTTTCCTGTATTCACTTTCAGTTTTCTTCTTTTACATACCCTACCAAATTCATCCACCAACCTCTGCAACTTCTCTTCAAAATTTCCCCCAAGAGCACAGTGTCATCAGCAAAGAGCAACTGTGACAACTCCCACTTTGTGTGATTCTTTATCTTTTAACTCCACACCTCTTGCCAAGACCCTCGCATTTACTTCCCTTACAACCCCATTTATAAATATATCGAACAACCATGGTGACATCACACATCCTTGTCTAAGGCCTACTTTTACTGGGAAATAATCTCCCTCTTTCCTACATACTCTAACTTGAGCCTCACTATCCTCATAAAAACTCTTCACTGCTTTCAGTAACCTACCTCCTATACATCTGCAACATCTGCCACATTGCCCCCCTATCCACCCTGTCATATGCCTTTTCCAAATCCATAAATGCCACAAAAACCTCTTTAGCCTTATCTAAATACTGTTCACGTATATGTTTCACTGTAAATACCTGGTCCACACACCCCCTACCTTTCCTAAAGCCTCCTTGTTCATCTGCTATTCTATTCTCTGTCTTACTCTTAATTCTTTCAATAACAACTCTACCATACACTTTACCAGGTATACTCAACAGACTTATTTTTATTTTTTTATTATCACACTGGCCGATTCCCACCAAGGCAGGGTGGCCCGAAAAAGAAAAACTTTCACCATCATTCACTCCATCACTGTCTTGCCAGAAGGGTGCTTTACACTACAGTTTTTAAACTGCAACATTAACACCCCTCCTTCAGAGTGCAGGCACTGTACTTCCCATCTCCAGGACTCAAGTCCGGCCTGCCGGTTTCCCTGAATCCCTTCATAAATGTTACTTTGCTCACACTCCAACAGCACGTCAAGTATTAAGAACCATTTTTCTCCATTCACTCCTATCAACACGCTCACCGGCATTGCCTCTGAAGTCCAAGCCCCTCGCACACAAAAACCCCCTTTACCCCCCTCCCTCCAAAACCCCTTTCCCAGGCCGACCCCTACCCCGCCTTCCTTTCCCCTACAGACTGATACACTCTTTAAGTCATTCGTTTCGCTCCATTCTCTCTACATGTCCGAACCACCTCAACAACCCTTTCCCCAGCCCTCTGGACAACAGTTTTGGTAATCCCGCACCTCCTCCTAACTTCCAAACTACGAATTTCTGCATTATATTCACACCACACATTGCCCTCAGACATGACATCTCCACTGCCCCCAGCCTTCTCCTCGCTGCAAAAATTCATCACCCACGCTTCACACCCATATAAGAGCGTTGGAAAACTATACTCTCATACATTCCCCTCTTTTGCTCCAAGGACAAAGTTCTTTGTCCCACGACTTCCTAAGTGCCAAACCCCTCACTCTTTTTTCCCTCATCAATTCTATGATTCACCCCATCTTTCATAGGGCCCATCCGCTGACACGTCCACTCCCAAATATCTGAATACGTTCACCTCCTCCATACTCTCTCCCTCCAATCTGATATTCAATCTTTCATCATCTAATCTTTTTGTTATCCTCATAACCTTACTCTTTCCTGTATTCACCTTTAATTTTCTTCTTTTGCACACCCTACAAATTCATCCACCAATCTCTGCAGCTTCTCTTCAGAATCTCCCAAGAGCACAGTGTCATCAGCAAAGAGCAGCTGTGACAACTCCCACTTTGTGTGTGATTCTTTATCTTTTAACTCCACGCCTCTTGCCAAGACCCTCGCATTTACTTCTCTTACAACCCCATCTATAAATATATTAAACAACACGGTGACATCACACATCCTTGTCTAAGGCCTACTTTTACTGGGAAAAAATTTCCCTCTTTCCTACATACTCTAACTTGAGCCTCACTATCCTCGAAAAAAACTCTTCACTGCTTTCAGTAACGTACCTCCTACACCATACACTTGCAAACATCTGCCACATTGCCCCCCTATCCACCCTGTCATACGCCTTTTCCAAATCCATAAATGCCACAAAGACCTCTTTAGCTTATCTAAATACTGTTCACTTATATGTTTCACTGTAAACACCTGGTCCACACACCCCTACCTTTCCTAAAGCCTCCTTGTTCATCTGCAATCCTATTCTCCGTCTTACTCTTAATTCTTTCAATTATAACTCTACCATACACTTTACCAGGTACACTCAACAGACTTATCCCCCTATAATTTTTGCACTCTCTTTTATCCCCTTTGCCTTTAAAACAAAGGAACTATGCATGCTCTTGCCAATCCCTGGTACCTTACCCTCTTCCTACATTTATTAAATAATTGCACCAACCACTCCAAACTATATCCCACCTGCTTTAACATTTCTATCTTTATCCCATCAATCCCGGCGCCTTACCCCCTTTCATTTTTACCTACTGCCTCCGAAATTTCCCCCCACACTCACAACTGGCTCTTCCTCACTCCTACAAATGTTATTCCTCCTTGCCCTATACACGAAATCACAGCTTCCCTATCTTCATAAAACTTTTAAAACAATTCCAAAATATTCCCCCCATCTCCCAATACCTCTAACTCTCCATTTAATAACTCTCCTCTCCTATTTTTAACTGACAAATCCATTTGTTCTCTAGGCTTTCTTAACTTGTTAATCTCATTTCCAAAACTTTTTCTTATTTTCAAACAAAATTTGTTGATAACATCTCACCCACTCTCTCATTTGCTCTCTTTTTACTTTGCTTCCCCACTTTTTTAACCTCTCTCTTTTTCTCCATATACTCTTCCCTCCTTGCATCACTTCTACTTTGTAAAAACTTCTCATATGCTAATTTTTTCTCCCTTACTACTCTCTTTACATCATCATTCCACCAATCGCTCCTCTTCCCTCCTGCACCCACTTTCCTGTAACCACAAACTTCTGCTGAACACTCTAACACTAACATTTTTAAACCTACCCCATACTCTTCGACCCCATTGCCTATGCTCTTTTTCCCCCTCCTAAAGCCTCCTTGTTCATCGCTATCCTATTCTCCGTCTTACTCTTAATTCTTTCAATTATAACTCTATCCATACACTTTACCAGGTACACTCAACAGACTTATCCCCCTAAAATTTTTTGCACTCTCTTTTATCCCCTTTGCCTTTATCCCAAAGGAACTATGCATGCTCTCTGCCAATCTCTAGGTACCTTACCCTCTTCCATACTTTTATTAAATAATAGCACCAACCACTCCAAAACTATATCCCACCTGCTTTTAACATTTCTATCTTTTACCCCATCAATCCAGCTGCCCTACCCCCTTTCATTTTACCTACTGCCTCATGAACTTCCCCCACACACACAACTGGCTCTTCCTCACTCCTCCAAGATGTTATTTCTCCTTGCCCTATACACGAAATCACAGCTTCCCTGTCTTAAATCAAATAAACAATTCCTCAAAATATTCCCTTCATCTTCCCAATACCTCTAATTCTCCATTTAATAACTCTCCTCTCCTATTTTTAACTGACAAATCCATTTGTTCTCTAGGCTTCCTTAACTTGTTTATCTCACTCCAAAACTTTTTCTTATTTTCAACCAAATTTGTTGATAACATCTCACCCACTCTCTCATTTGCTCTCTTTTTACATTGCTTCACCACTCTCTTAACCTCTTTCTTTTTCTCCATATACTCTTCCCTCCTTACATCACTTCTACTTTGTAAAAACTTCTCATATGCTAACTTTTTCTCTCTTACACTCTCTTTACACCCATCATTCCCCCCAAATCGCTCCTCTTCCCTCCCACACCCACTTTCCTGTAACCACAAACTTCTGCTGAACACTCTAACACTACATTTTTTAACCTACACCATATCTCTTCGACCCCATTGCCTATGCTCTCATTAGCCCATCTATCCTCCAATAGTTGTTTATATCTTACCCTAACTGCCTCCTCTTTTAGTTTATAAACCTTCACCTCTCTCTTACCTGATGCTTCTATTCTCCTTGTATCCCATCTACCTTTTACTCTCAGTGTAGCTACAACTAAAAAGTGATCTGATATATCTGTGGCCCCTCTATAAACACAGTTATGAGCTTAATAGGTTTTTGCTGAATCGTTTGTTTTTTCTTTTCAGTTTGATGATTACCGCCCAGGTAGCTTAGCTGGCCAAGCAACAGGCATAGCAGCATCTTTGGCTATTATTGGCGGTGTTGATGCTCGACCCAGACTTGGTGGAGATGTTGTATTAGAGAGGTCGTTGGGTGAGTTCTCTCTTTGAGACATGTTGTATAACACATTGATGAAAAAATTATTACCTTACCCTTGATGATGATATACCTTTGATGAGTTATGAGAGTGTTTCTATTCCCTAAGCCCAGCCATGGGCCAGGCTAGCAGTATATGAATGAATTAAGGTAGTAGACTGGTAGACAGCAACCACCCAGGGAGATACAACTATCCTGCCAGGTGACTGTGAAACAGAAACCTGTAACTGTTTTACATGATGGTAGGATTGCTGGTCTCTCTTTTCTGTCTCATAAACACGCTGGATAACAGGTATATCTTGCTACTTCTACTTACACTTAGGTCACACTACACAGGCACGCGCATGCATATATGTACATACACACATCTAGATTTTTCCTCTTTTTCTTATTAGCTCTTGTTCTTTATTTCCTCTATTGTGCATGGGGAAGTGGAAAAGAATCTTTCCTCCATAAGCCATGCGTGTCGTATGAGGCGACAAAAATGCCGGGAGCAATGGGCTAGTAACCCCTTCTCTTGTATACATTTACTAAAAAAGAGAAGAAAAAGTTTATAAAATTGGAATGCTTGCATGTGCGTGGATGTAGTGCGGATGATAAGAAAGAGATGACTTCTGATGTTATGAATGAAAAGAAGTTGGATGTCCTGGCCCTAAGTGAAACAAAGCTGAAGGGGGTAAGTGAGTTTCAGTGGGGAAAAATAAATGAGATCAAGTCAGGAGTATTTGAGAGAGTTAGAGCTAAGGAAGGGGTAGCAGTAATGTTGAAGGATCAGTTATGGAAGGAGAAGAGGGAATATAAATGTGTAAATTCAAGGATTATGAGGATTAAAATAAAGGTTGGATGCAAAAAGTGGGTCATAATAAGCATGTATGCCCCTGGAAAACAGGAGTGTAGAGGAGAGAGAGAGAGTTTTTGGGGAGATGTTAAGTGAGTTTAAGGAACCTTTGAACCAAGTGAGAGAGGAATTGTGTAGGGGACCTAAATGCTAAAGTAGGAGAAACATTTAGAGAGGGTGTGGTAGGAAAGTTTAGGGTGCCATTTGTAACTGATAAGGGAGCCTTTGATTGAACTTTGTATAAAAAAGGGGTTTAGTTATAGTAGTACATATTCTAAGAAAAGAGGAATAAATAAGTAACATGATATGTAGGGCGTAATGACAGTGCAGGTCTCCCTCCACATTTGCGAGTTCCACTTTCGCAACTTCGAACATTCATGAATCCCCACCACCCAATCATATTTAAAATTTTGTCATTACGGTGTTAGGGTTTGTGGTGGCAGCAGAGTTTGTTTGGAGATAGGATAAGAAGTCTTTCAATATGACACTAATATCAACTCTACGGCTTATTTATCTATCACAATTGATCTAATCGGACATAATAAAAAATTTTAATAACGTAGAAACATGCATGTACTCTAGAATGATTAAAATATGTCTTTCGTATGCACGAGTGGTGTTGTTTTTTGTTGTTGGGTGTATAAGGCCACTGAGAGCACAAGCCTTACATAGTGGTGGCGAAGGCAGCAGCAGAAGCGGAAGAGGCAGCGGTGTTGTCAGAAGCCCTATATAACTCCAACAACATTGGAGGAATTAGGTTCGTGCGTCCTTTTTTGTCAATTTTTCGCTTAACTTTACTTGCTACACTGTTTAAATGCTACACTTTATCGCTGGCGGGCACTATATCTTTTATCAACTCATGCTGCTCTAGTATCGAACATATCGTAAATCACTGAAGAAGGCACATGCGCCCTTCTCTCTTCCTCCCCACCTTGGTACTTTACTACAAGTTTTTTTCTTGAATTCTATAGTTTTTTCTCACCTTCTTTACTAAAGGGCTGGCACTAGCACAATATTTTACAATGTTTTCATGTGTTTTTATGACTGTTCATGACCAATAGGTTAAGGAAGCAGTATTGTTAGGCTAAGTAAATGCTATTAAATATATTTCCCTACAATGTATTTTGTGCACCAAACATTCGTGATTTTTCAAATTCGTGAGGTTCTTGATCCCCTAACCCTGTGAATGTGGAGGAAGACCTGTACTTTGTTGGACTAAAATAAATTTGGGAGATAAAAGACTGTTGAGTAGCTTCATGATGTACATGTGTATAGAGGGGCCACAGTATATCAGATCACTTTTTAGTTGTAGCTAAGAGTGAGAGTAAAAGGTAGATGGGATACAAGGAAAATAGAAGCAGCAAGTAAAAGAGAGGTGAAGGCGTAAAAAACTAAAAGAGGAGGCAGTTAGGGTAAGATTATAAACAACTAAATTTGGGGGATAGATGGCTAGTGAGAGTATAGGCATTGGGGTCGAAGATGTATGGGGTAAAGTTTAAGAATGTAGTGTTAGAGTGTTCAGCAGAAGTTTGTTGTTACAGGAAAGTGGGTGTGAGAGGGAAGAAGAGCAATTGGGGGAATGATGAGTTAAGAGAGTAGTAGGGGAGAAAAGTTAGCATATGAGAGTTTTTTTCAAAGTGGAAGTGATGCAAGGAGGGAAGAGTATATGGAGAGAAAAAGAGATGTTTAAGAAAGTGGTGAAACAAAAGTAAAAAGAGAGCAAACGAGAGAGTGGGTGGATGTTATCAACAAAATTTGTTGAAAATAAGAAAAAGGTTTGCATTGCGATTAATAAGTTGAGGAAACCTAGGGATCATATGGATTTGACAGTTAAAAATAGGAAGAAAAGTTATTAAATGGGAAATTAGAGGTATCGGGAAGATGCAGGAAATTTTGAGGAATTGTTACATGTTTGATGAAGATAAGGAAGCTGTGATTTTGTGTATAGGGCAAGAAGGAATAACATCTTGTAAGAGTGAGGAAAAGCCAGTTGTGAGGGTGGGGGAAGTTCGTGAGGCAATGGGTAGAAAGAAACGGGGTAAGGGGAGCTGGGAATGATGGGAAAAAGACAGAAATGTTAAAAGCAGGTGGGGATTAGTTTTGGGTGGTTGGTGCTATTATTTAATAAATGTATGAAAGAGGTAAGGTACCTAGGGATTGGCAGAGTGTGCATAGTTCCTTTGTAAAAAAGGCAAAGGGGACAAAGAGAGTGGGAACAATTATAGGGGAATAAGTCTGTTTTAGTATAGCTGCTAAAGTGTATTTTAGAGTTGTTATTGAAAGAATTAAGAGTAAGACGGAGGAGGCTTTAGCAAAGGTACGGGGTGTGTAATCAAGTGTTTACAGTGAAACTATAGGGGAACAGTATTTAGATAAGGTTAAAGAGGTTTTGTGGCATATGTGGATTTGGAAAAGGCGATGACAGGGTGGATAGGGGGCAGTGTGGCATATGTTGCAGGTGTAGGTATAGGAGGTATGTTACTGAAAGCACTGAAGAGTTTTTACGAGGGTATCAGGCTCAGGTTAGAGTATGTAGGAGAGAGGGAGATCATTTCCCCGTAAAAAACAGGCCTTAGACAAGGATGTGTGATGTCACCGTGGTTTTTTCAATACATTATAGATGGGGTTGTTAAGAGAATGGGAAAGCAAGTGTCTTGGCAAGAGGTGTGGACTTAAAAGATAAAGAATCAAACACAAAGTGGGAGTTGTCACAGTTGCTCTTTGCTGATGACACTGTGCTTTTCGGAGATTCTAAAGAGAAGTTGCAGAGGTTTGTGGATGAATTTGGTAGGGTATGTAAAAAAAAGAAAATTGAAAGTGAATTTAGGAAACAGTAAAGTGATGAGAATAAGAAAAAGATTGGGTGACGATAGATTGGATATCAGACTGGAAGGAGAGAGTACAGAGGAGGTGAATGTATTCAGATATTTGGGAGTGGATGTGTCAGCAGATGGGTCTGTTAAGGATGAGGTGAATCGTAGAATTGATGAGGAGTAAAGGGTGAGTGTTGCACTTTGAAGTCTATGGAGACAAAGAACTTTGTTTGTGGAAGCAAAGAGGGGAATGTATGAGAGTACAGGTCTCCCTCAACATTCACGTTTTCAGCTTTCGCGGGCTTCACACATTCGCGAATTCCCAACCGCCAAATTCCCAGCCACCAAATTCCCAGCCGCCAAATCATATTCAAGTTTCCCGCCACCTGCAAGTCCCTACTACCCTCCCACCGACCCCCGCAACTGGCAGCCAGCCCTCCCACCACTCAGTGTGGTGAGTGTTTTGTTTGTTCATTATTGCTATTAAATACAGTATAAATAATGTAAAACCCTCAGACTGCAAAATTGGAATGGATTTGGAAAAGGTATTAGACGTGACACATGTGTTTTTCTGAACCACAAAGAATCAAACTTTCTGCTACTGAATAATAACAATAGTAATAATAATAATAAAAATAATAATAATAAATCCAAAAATTAAAAGGAAGTTGTACAAAAATATATGGATGGTTGACACATGTCGTATGGCTTTTTATGCTGGTGAGCATTATCTCTGTGTCTTCCAAACATTTCACAATAATTCATTGTGTTTGGTGCTGGATTGAGTGCGACTGGAGTGGAAGGGAGTGGTTGAGGCGCGATTGAGGCAGCGATTTGAGGCAGTGGTTAAGGCAGCTGTTGAGGCAGTGATTGAGGCAGTGGGTGAGGCAGCTGTTGAGGCAGTGGGGGGGCAGCTGGTGAGGAAGCGGTGAGGCAGTGGGTGGGGCAGCTGTTTGAGGCAGCGATTGAGGCAGTGGGTAAGGCAGCTGTTGAGGCAGCGATTGAGGGAGTGGGTGAGGCAGCTGTTGAGGCAGTGGGGGAGGCAGCTGTTGAGGAAGGTTGATGGGCAGTGGTTCAGGCAGCGGTTGAGGCAGTGGTATAATAACATATATGTTATTAATAATATTAATACATGTTAATTAATAATATGTTACTACATGTATTAAATTATTTATAACATTTTATTGTTATTAAATACCACTGCTCAACCGCTGAATTATTGTGAAATGTTTGGAAGAGCAGGAAGACTAATGCTCACTCCAGCATAACAAAGCCATACTGACGATGTGTCAACCACTCTTGGTATTTTTGTACAAATTTCCTTCTCAGTTATATACGTGTTATTA